TATATATATATATATATTTTTTTTTTTTATATTAATAGTAGCTTTGTAGAAGTTACAGGCCTGGCTGTAACAATTCACAGTTTGAATGCAAAACACTTAGTCCAAAAATAAAGGAGGCGTTCGTCTGGATGGCTCTGACCTCTTCTGAACTTCTGGAAGCTTCCGGAAGAGTCATGCAGAAAACAACACGTGTCCTATAAACACGGCAGCGGGCGGGCGGGCGGACGGGGGCGACGCCTCCTCATACGGGGGTGGTGCGCCGGTTAGCGGCCGCGTTCCCATGCGTCGAGTCTTTGGCGTCCTTCTGGATGCAGTTGTGCACTTGCAGGAAGTTGTGGTCCCGCTCCGAGTTGTAGGCGGCATTGGCGTTTGGTGCCCCCGCTCCAGACTTGAGGGTATCGCGGGGCAGCGTATACATGGAGATCTCGGTGGAGGGCAGCGCCCCGAAGGCCTTGAGGCCAAGCGGGGAGGTGTCGCGCGAGTGCGCCGGGTCCGTGGAGCGCGACGAGGAACGCGAGCGGCGCCGGTAGCGGTAGCGGTAGCTCGGGACCCGGGACACCGCCGAGCCCTGGAGGTAGTCGGCGGCGCGGGTCCCGATCCGAAGCTGCCTGTGGCGGTCGATGAACATGTGCACGGCCAGGACGCCCACCATCTCGGCCATGATGAAGGACAAGGCCCCGAAGTAGAAGGACCAGCCGTATGAGTACGAGTTCTTCTTGGAGTCGCTCTTGGATGGGTCGCCTGCGTTGGCTGATATGTACACGATGATTCCGATGATGTTGCTCAGGCCTGCGCAAACGAGTTAACAGTATTCACCAATCAGAGATTGGGTGAAGCAGCATGTGGCTCTAAGGTTGTGTGCCGGGTAAGAAAACAGTTGAACTTTGACAAAACTAAAACATGGCTTCCACCCACATGCCGTCGGACTCCTGATTAAATGACATCGACATCACAATCCGTCAATCACACTGTGCAATAGTTTTTCTTTGTAGTCTCGCTCACTTGAAGATTTACACTGCGCAATAATTTAGGACCAGGACAAGTTGGTGTGATTAATGGGACAGTGAATTCTGCAGTCTACCAGAAAATCCTGAAGGAGAACGTCCAACAATCCGTTTGCGCCCTCAAACTTAAACGCCGTTAGATCATGCAGTGGGGCAACGAGATGCTATGGTGTGATCTTAAACGGGCATGCTAGAAAACCCTCCAAAACATGGCGGAGTTGAAGCAATTCTACCAAGAAGAGTGGGCCAAAATTCCTCCACAGCAATATGATAGACTCGTCACCACTTATTGCAAATGCTTGATTCCAGTTAGTGCTGCCAAGGATGGCACAACCCATTATTCGGTTCAGGAGACTTTTTCACTTAGAGACAGGTAGGTTCTGATTTTTTTTTGTGTGTCTAAATAAATAAAGTTTGCATACAGAAAGTGCATTTTGTATTTCCTTGGGTTGTCTCTGTGTGATATTAAAATTGGTTTGATGAACTGAAATCTTTCTGTGTGGAAAAAAAATGAACACAGTCATCAGCAAGGAGGCGAAGAATTTTTCACGGCACTATATCTGTTCCTTGTTATGAAGTTCACTGCCACCATTTAAAGCCCGTAAGTCAAATTTTTGCTCCTAAGTCAAGATAAAACCAGCTCAGTGATGGCTAATAATCTAGAAAACGTCATAAATCAAGACTCGAGTTACCGCTGTTCGTTGGAGTTCGACAAAATATCAACATATGGTATCGTTATCTCTCCTGGTATCGACAGTAGCGGCGCTAAACCTTTGCTAGCAGTCACACACAAACAGTTTTTTAGTGTCATATTCCTGGATGTTCTCCACACTCTCAAGTCAGCTGGGGGCAGTAAGGCACCGATAGACCCAAACGAAGAAGAAGTATCCCTCAACGCAGACTAATAGCGAGTAGCTCTAAACCTGCTCTTACCGGCTAGCAAGAGAAACTATAAGACGCTAAGGTTGACCTTTTTGAGTGCGACTTAACGTCTGAGATTGTTTTGCGGTTGAGTTTGAGTTGATGGACTGACCTGCCGACACAAAGAAGATCCCTGCGCTGAGGATGATGTTGTGTCTGGACTTGTAGAACTCACTGGCAGCAATGCACAAACCTCCCATGAAGAGCAGGATGACGCTGAGGATGGGGAAGATGCTGGACGCTCGTACCGCACCTGGAAACAAATATGTGACACAAACAACTTCACTTCCTTGGAGTAGGAAACGTTCAGTCAGTAGTTTCTAAATTCAGTTTCCGGGGTTTTGGCTCAGCTGGAGGTGTTTGGGGTGGCATTTAGACTTTGTGGATATCATGTTGATACCTGATAAAGATCGTGTCATTATCTGCGCGATAAGCAAGACTGAATAGAGCCAAATAGAGTGTCTTTGTTTGGCGAAATATGAATATTGTAATATTTTGTGTCTCTGACAATAGAGTTTCATTACGACAACCTCAGATATCGCTAATGTTCGATATCAATGTATGTAAGTTGCAGATTGGAAAACTGATCATCATGACTCCTCGTGATGATTTTTTCAACTTGAAGTGACATCACAATGAGCATTCTTGTTTTTCTCCCAATACGGTGGTCCCATGTGAAATTTGAATTGTTTCATGAGCTGTTCACATTTAAATGAATGTAGGTGCAATTAATTCGTTCCAGGCACACCACAAAAGAACAAAATAAACAGACAAAAATTGTGTTTTTTGTAATAACGTCAAAAACACTCTATCATATCGTACTGGTGTCAGAGATTTTCTCGGACAAAGTTAAAGAAATGACTCGGCACACAGGAAAATTGTCTTCAATATCGGCGGGAGGGGATCTCTGAGAGCGAACGACGGTAGTTGCTCCGATGATCACACTCTCTCTCTCCCTTCCCGCCAATTCCGACTTTTATTGTAACATACAAGGAAAACACTGCCCCCGACATTTGCATACCGCACCCCCGGTCCGGCCCCTCGGTGGTGATTGGTTACCTGTTTTTTAAACTTGAACCACCAGTACGTTGGCGCCTTTTCTGTCTGGTCTACATCGAATTAACATGTTGCAGACTTTGTGGACGACAAATGTCGCCTGGGCGCGACGGGTGTTCTCAACTCGTCTTTTGTTGTTCAACCGCTGTTCCCAAATTATTCATTCCCTTTTGTGACCGAGTTTCGCCCCCTCCCCTGTGATTGCCCACCTGCATTGACGTGCTAATTGTGGACTTCAACAGCCCTCCGGCCAGGTGGCCGGCGCCTTTGTGCACAGGCATTTGGAGGTGCTGGATACGCACCCAAACGTTTAGATGTGTTCAAATTAAATGAAACTTTAAACATGATACAATTTTGCTCATAAATTCCTCTAACAACTGGATATATATCTTTTGATTAAACAGAAAGCAAATATTTAATTTGAAGAAAAGATAATTAAATAAAACATAAAGGTTGATCTTGTTGTCAAGTGGGTTAAGGTTACAGCGAGCATACTGCGCTCCCATCCCCGAAGTTTTGCTTGTATGTCAAAGCGAAAAGTTAGCTGGAGAGCTGTGAGCATTAAAAAAAACTTGTAATTGGGGTCATCGTATCTCAGGGGACCACTGTATCATCAATGTCGCTGATCTCACATGCATAGGTTTTAGAGTAGCGATACGTCTTATTGCAAAAATCACTGTTCTTCTCTAGATATATTGTGAGACAAAGGAAATTATATTGTGACAGACTTAATGAAACGTTTTTAATTTATATTTAAAAAAAAAAATTACCAGAGCAACATCAAGAAGTTCCTGAAACCTTTCGGTGTAAATGCAGTCAAGGTAGGAGGAGGAGGAGAGAGATGCACATTAAAAAGCACATTAGCATCCATTTCAGCATCTGCTCCCTGTGTGCGCGCACCCCAATCAACACCCCGTCAGGACTGTGAAACACTCCATCAACACTCGTGTGTGTGTGTGTGTGTGTGTGTGTGTGTGTGTGTGTTGGGACATTATGTAATGGCACTCCTGGCAGACGGGACGGACGCCGTGGGGCTCTGGCACGTACTGTACGCCCGGCGGGCCACCACCGCTTCCTTCAAACGTCGTCATCATCATCATCCGACATTATCATGAGCGCAGCGGCTAATCGCTAACACGAGTCAAACCTGGCAGACGTGAGATCAAACGGCGCTAAATTAGCGGTGATGCATCCTGATCGACGGTGAACTATTGTGGCCGCCCCTCCAGCATTTGCGTCCTCCAATTTAAAGATGGCGACCTATCATATGTTTGTCTGGCCAAAGCGGTGATTGATTGACACGCTCCTCTTGGCCAGTGACCGGAGCTCAAGGTGACGCCAAAGAGAAGCAAAACCTCTGAGAGGCTCGCTTTGCGGTCACAGAGGAGGCGGCGGAAGGAAGGGAGGAGGGCAAACATGGCGAGAGTAATGTGTGCTTATGATTATTTTATCATTTTGCCTTCATTTGGACAATAACGGCAATAAAACGAGGGCCGTTCGCCAGGCCCGACTTTTGATTGCGTCGCAGAGCCAAGAAACAGTCTGACACGGTACAACCTCATTAAACTGCAAATTAATCTTTTATACTTGCTTTTTTTTTTTTTATACACAAATTTAGCACACAGGGTTCAAAAACAGCTGAATGGGTTTCCATCAGGAAATTAAGGTTTAGATTTTTGGGTTAGGTTATGGCAGGGGTGTCAAGCTCAGTTTTGTCGTGGGCCACATTGTAGTTCCGGTTTCCCCTGGAGGGCCGTTATGAATTTTGGGAAACCATATACATGTTTAATCCCCTCCACATATTACATACATAGCGCACAACAAATTGATGAATAACTAGTTTTAAAATCAGAAGTCAAGAATAATGATTATTACGATATGTTATTGTGGATTACGTATGACAGTTTAAATTTTTGATTTCAGACTAAAGCAAGCATCATGGAACTTGACATGCGTGATTTGCTTTCGTGGGCCGCATAAAATGATGTGGCGGGCCAGATCTGGCCCCCGGGCCTTGACTTTGACACCTGTGGGTTCCGGCTTGGCTTCGTGTTTGGGTTCAAGTTAGGTCAAAAGGGTGAGGCTGCACGGTTAAAGCCCACTTCTGGATAAGCACGTTAAAACAGGACGTAAATATTGGGCTTTAAATGTGCAGCCTCGCCCTTTGACCTATCTTCAACAACTTGATATAAACCCTTTCAGGGACAGCGGTTACGACAGTGGACAGCTTATCATGTCATCAGGTTGCAGGATGCATGAAAGGGTAAAATGCTGTGTCACCTTTGCACTGTGAAGAAAACATTTCTGTGACAATGAATATACCATCATAGAAATATTTGAAAAATATGACAAAATTTCAGTCAACAGCTTGAATCCAAAGTACGAGCCTGGTACTTGTAATCATGAATGAACCCGGGATGAGTCAAGTCATTGAAAAGGGAACTGCACTTGGCATCTGTTTGCCTTTGCATGATTGACAGGTGACTATTTACCACTACTATGACGCTTTCATGAGACAACGACCCCCCCCAAGACCCACCCAAAAACAAAAGTCGGCCTCGTGTCCCCGTTCGCTTCCTCGGATGAGGTGCGTCGACTCGCCACTGACTCGGTGACCCACATTTCGGAAGACGATGTCACGGGAGATTCCGAGTGAGTCATACACGACTGACTAAAGCGTGCCGTAGTAAGCGAGGGCTCGCCCCCCCCCCCCCACCCCCCACCAAGCGGGCGTGCGTGCGTGCGAGGCAGCGGGCACCAGTGGATACTGCCAGCTGGGTATTGATCCACGCAGCTGATGACAAACAAAGCAACCCGCGGGCTCATATGGTGGGTGACACACTGGCGCGGCGCAACACCTGTGTTACTCCTTGACGCTTACAGAACAGATTTGGGATTTCTTACTTTTGGATTTGTGATCATTTTGCCTCCTATTCGTGTGGCTCTTGCTGAGGTTTTTTTTTTTTTTTTTTTCTCCCAGTCCCATACTTTGCCCCTTCCTTTCAGGGGCAAAGCTTGGACCTATTTTTTTTTTCTTTCCTTAGGTTTTTCTTTTTCATCGAAGAAAAACGGGGCACCGTTTTGGGCGACTCATCAAACTTCGCTAGTTTGTCTCCCTCTGTTGGTCACTTTTATTATTTCTCGTGAACAGGTTGTCACTGTTAAGCAAATTTCCTTGCTCTCTACTCGTGCATGTGTGTGTATATATATATATATATATATATATATATATATACATACATACATACATACATACACATTCATATATCCTCCCTGGTGGAGACTGAACTGGCTACGTCCCCTTTTTTAGCAGCAGCTGGCACCCTTTTTTCTTTGGCTTGCATGCGGATCAACTTCCCTTCCAGCTCGCCACAATAAAACTCATTTTAATCCCAGCAAAAAAAAAAAAAAGCCTGCAATCAGTTCCCGGACCTACTTTATGTCGGGACATAAAAAGGTTTTGTCATAAAAGGGGAAGTGTGTGATTTCCTGTTTAACCTCGGATGGGAGAACGCGTGCGCTTTACGAGGCGCTTAGATTGCTAAATTCCTCGTTAATGCGACAGCGAGTCACAACACTCGGTCAATCAGGAACAGAAAAAAAAGGATTGACTTTTAATTTGCTGCCTGGTGTCTGCGGGTCATCCGTTGCCTAGGAGACCGGTGCAGCGTTAGCATATCGTAGACGCATGCAACACGACCAGTGCCTGCGGGTTGGGCCCAGACCCGTCAATTTTATCAGGCCAGTTGAGGCCAGCGTCCAGTCTGCTTTGGGGCCCCAGGGTGGTGGTAATGCAAACCAACACCCCCCACCCACCCGCCAACTCATCAATACTGGCTGATGAACTCATGCAAGCACCGAGGAGAAGCCGCCGCCAATGAAAAACAACAGAAAGCAGAAGCCAATTATGATTATGAACACAAATACTATTCTACATGTGCGTGCTAACAAATTCCAACACTAACCCTAAATTTGAACCCTATGTTGAAACCTTACCTCTAATTTGAAACCCTACTTTAGAACTGTAACCCTGATTTAACACCCTACTTGGAAACCTTAACCCTAATTTGAAATCCTAATTCGAAACTCTAGCCCTAGCCCCAGATTTAAAGGCTAATTTGAAACTCTAACCTGACTTTAAAACACGAATTTTAAACCGTAGCCCTGGTTTAGAAACCTAATTTGAAATTACCCTAATTCGAAACCCTAATTCTAACCACTAATCCTAGTTGGTAAATTTACTTAAAAATCTTAGCCCTGGATTTAAACGCTTATTCTAAACTCTAACCCCAGTTGGAAAACCGAGTTAAACTTCCTGGGTTTAGATTAAAAAAATAATCCTAATTTAATTTGAAACCTTAACTGTAGTTTAAAAACCTACTTTGTCACCCTGAATCTAGTTTGAAACCCAAATTTGAAACCTGAAATCTAGCTTGAAACCCTAGTTTGAAACCCTAATTAAAAATCCTAATTGTAGAGTTAAACCCTAATTTGAAACTGTAAACCTATTTTGAACCCTAACCCTAGTTTAGAACCCTAATTTGAATCTTTAACCCTAACTTGAAACCCTAATCGGAGTTTGAAACAATAACCCAAGTTTGAAACCCGAGTTAAATACCCTAGTCCGAAAGTCAAACCCTAATTTGAAACTCCGATCCTAATTTGAAACCCTAACCCTAATTTAGAACCCCGATTTGAACCCCAAGTTCCAGTTTGAAACCCTAATTAATTTAAAACCTTAACCTTTGCAAGTACTGTTGGTAAAATGTTGCATTTTTGTGTATTTTACTTGCTTAGCATGAGCAAGTATTGATCACTACCCCCCTCCCTCATAAAAGGCAGCATTTCCTGCAAGCCGGCATCCTCTCCTTTCTATTGTGGGCGTCCTCTCTTTTGTGAAGGGCCTTCTTGCATAACGGGGTGTTTCTTCACTGCCTCCTCCTCGTCTTCCTCATCTTCCTCGTCCTCCTCCTCCTCCTCCCTCTCGCCCGGCGGAGCAGTGCATGACGGGAGCTCACACACACGCCATGTTCGAGAAACCCACTGGCACTTCAGTGCGCCTCAGCTGCCTTACATAACATCAGATGTGCACACAACACGCGCACGCGTCAAAGACGCCCGGGCTCTTTGCATGTGCGCGTGTGAGTGTGATGCTCCTTTTATGAAAGGATGTTAAACTGAGACGTGTATGCGACATCATGTCGTTCGCCAGTAAATACAGCCCATCATTTTATGTCTGACATTATGCACCCCAGGGGGGACCAACCTTTTTGGACCCGACGCCATTGGCCGACCTTGCGCCGATCGTGGACAGCGGTTGATAGGATACTTAGGGTACAGTGTACACTAACACAAAAAAATAGCTAATACTAATAACATGCACACATACGCACACATCGACAATGTCTAAGTACGCATGAATAGTCTCGCCGGTCGTATGGCGTGTGCCAAAGTATGACATCAAAAGTTTGAGGACATCATTTATAGTTGGACTTCATTAAAATTTGAACTGATGTAAAGTGCATAAGCATCATTTTTACAATGACGTGGGTAGTAATGACTTGAAATGTGATGTCATGGTGTGTGGTGTGATGTTTTTCATGATATCATATTTATGAAATGATTTATATTTTGATTTTTCCATACTGAGACTGTGTGTGTGTGTGTGTGTGTGTGTGTGTGTGTGTGTGTGTGTGTGTGTGTGTGTGCGTGTGGGCAGATGAGTGTTTGGTGCGGGTGCGTGTTGTTTTGACTCGTCTCCACGCAATGTGACGACATCGGCGGTGTGCCCGCTCCATTTTTGGGCATGTGTGATGTCACTTCCAGGCGGGCCTTCACCTTGAGTGACATGCTGTGTGTTGCGTAATGGCAGAGGAGGAAGAAGAGGAAGAGGAGGAGGAGGAGGAGGTGGCTACCTCGCTGGCTTGTGTAAAACGTAATCATCATGAGCACCATAATATTGTATTTTATAATGACATGTAATATGTCTATTTTGTGACGTGATGATGTCACTACCTCTTTTTTTTTTATGTGACATCATTGGAATCTTTTTACTGTGGCATTTATGTCAAGATGTATCGTAGAACTGCATTTTTAGTCTGACATCACATATGACATCATTTCAGTTTGATAATTAATATCAAGACATCATTTTTAACACGGCATGAAGTATAGTATGACATGATTTCAGTATGATGTATGACTTAAATTCACGGCATCATGTCAAATTTAACATTACATGATGTATACCAAGTCAACATTTTCGTTTTTAAATGACAACGTATTGGAAGACATATTGTTTTGATGAGTATAGCTGCATGACATCATATGGAGGAAGACATCAATTTCAAGGAGATGATACATATATATTTCTTATATATGATGTAGAGCAGGGGTGTCAAACTCATTTCACATGGTGGGCCACATACGGCCTCGGTAGATGTCAAGTGGGCCGGACCATTAAAATGATACAATACTTTGCTATAAATAACCAAAACAATATGTCTTTCCTTTGTTTTGGTATAAAGAAGCACAAGAACATTAGGAAAATGTTGAAATTTAATGAACATATCTTTTACAAAACATTTCATGAAGCACCCTACATTTCCTTCGACAAATGTGCAATTTACTTTTATCATTCACATATATGTATTGCAACTGATCCCACTGATTGTACAAACTTTAACAAGTAATTGGTATTGAAAAATATAGTAATGCACTTTAAGATTAAACAAGATTCATAAAGAAAGCAAGTTTTAAAGCATTTACACGTGCATATAAAATCTAAATGTAATCCCTGCCTACACCTTACAAACTAAGGAGAGTGCTATTAAATGTGTAAATGTGAGAGTGCTATTGATAGCGTCTGCTGTCATGGGTCTGTCTCAGTGACAGACTGAGGCTGCTGTTGTCTTCTTCTCTGATCAAAACAGTGTCCCCTTGCGGATACTCAATGAATTGCACCTGATTAAAAATATTAATTCTGTGTCTTTAATGCATTTTTTCACTTTTACATTATCCCTGCGGGCCTGATTGAACCTACTTGCGGGCCGGTTCCGACCCGCGGGCCGTATGTTTGACACCACTGATGTAGAGTAAGACAAAAAAAAATTAATTTGTCTTTCTCCTAGTCATATGTCCCTTTTAATCCAGTAAATCATGGTCTCTGTGTGTTTGTGTGTGTGTGTGTGTGTGTGTGTGTGTGTGTGTGTGTGTGTGTGTGTGTGTGTGGCCCAATGATGCTCAGCGGCGTTTTGACATGAAAATGACGGCGTCCTGACCCACATAAAGAAGGAGGCTAAAATATTTATGGCCGCCAGTGTCCTAATTGGCCGGCCACTGGGAGCGCTCTCGTCCAATCACAGTGCGGTCGGAGGGGTTAAGGACCACTGTCATCGGCCCCGTTGTTAGCATCATTAGTGGCGCTGTTGGCCTATTCTGCCGCATCCAGATGGGCGGCCGACACTCCGAGCGCAAAGTTAAACTGTCTAATTGGCGCCGCTTCAGCTAGCGGACTCGCACGCACGGCTGGGGTACAACCCACACACACACACCCCCACCCCCATTTACCCTCCAGCCCATCCCTAAGGACAATGGTTCTCCGATGTCATTTTTCAACATTCTCGGAAAACAAGAAAATAAAATGTTGTTAGTGAGCAATTGCCTTCCATGTTTCACACCGGCGCACCTGAGGACGGAGGCGGAGGACCAAACACACCACCAATCCTACACCTTTCAAAACAGACCTGGCTGTCACCATGGCAACAAACACCCAAGCCGCATGGGGATGGTAATCATGGGGACGCGCCCCTGTGTTGCGAAAACACACCACCGCAAGCAATCAAGTGCGAGCGTCCACATGATGATGCTAACGCTAATGCTAACTGTCACGCACTGCTGTGATGCTTAGCATGAGGATGTAAGCGTCTTGTAGCCCCTTTCACACGGGGGGGGTTCCGGAAAACGGACGCAAGGCCCTAAGCTTTTCACACAGAACACAGCAAAGCGTCTGTTGTACAATTTCACACAGCTTGTCAGTCAATGTTTCTCATTCAGATAACTAGATGACGTCAGCGGGAGTCATGAAAAAGTTGTCGGACATCAGAAGTGAGCCAGGTGGTATTTATCTATCTGTACCTTTCACACAAAAGTCAGCAAATTAATGTAAAACAGCCGGCAAATGTGAGTTAGCTGGCACCTGTCATCATCTGTATTTCTCACAGAACACTTCAGAATCGACAGTAAAAATTTCTTTCAACACAACAGGCTGGGCGAAATGGGGTTTCGACTTAAAACCCCGACCTCGGCTGTCCACTATCCCCTTTCACGCAGTCATTGTCTAACCTCCAAACCTAGAAAATGTTCAGGTTGACTTCAAACCACATTTCGTGACGCATGTACCTTTCACGCAGACGAGGGAAAAGCAGTGAAGAAGTTGTCTGTGTGAAAGGGGCTGGTGTGCTGTTTGCACACAGCGCGCTAATCAATGGACACAGTGTTGACTGACTGGAGTGTAACTCACACATGCGCGCCTCTTAGCAGACGGCGGCCAAGCGGCATCCTGGCATCCAGCACCAGTCGCAAACGCGGCCAACAAGCGCCGCCTTCCCGGGGAAACTCAAGCGTTCTCCAAGTGTGTGTGAAAGTGTGTGTGTGTGTGTGCGCGCGCGTGTACTCACGCAGGAAGTACTCGGACGGGTCAGCTTCGTAATCCGTGTCCTCGGGGAAGTGATCGATCTGTTTGCACATGCCCTTGAAGTTTCCTGGTGAGGCAAAAATGGGGAAAGTGTCAACAACATCAACAACAACAACAAGAAATGCTGACTGGCGTTTCCTTTATATCACTCGCTCTCTCTCTCTCTCATTGGTTCATTTCCAGGAAGTGACTTCCTTCAAGCTTCTGATTGGCTGTTACTTCTTTAGTTGTTTGATTCCAATGCGACATTGTTCAACATTACGTTCAGTTGACTATCAGCTGTTGTTTTTGTATATTTTCCAGGAAGTGACTCTCTTCTCTCTTCTGATTGGCTAATAGCTGCATGAATCATTTCCTTTAGTTTTTTTTTTTTTTTTAATGATTCATTTGGACTTTACACTTAAGTGTGATACTGAGAATTAAGTTCCAGCTTCTGATTGGATGTGAACACCATTTGTCATTTTTAAATTTTTTTGGGGACATTATTATCATTATGATTATTATTAACACTATTGAGGAGCAAGTCCACTTCATGCTACTGTATATTTTCCAGGAAGTGACTTTTTTTTGTCTTCCGATTGGCTACAATGGCTTTATTGTGTGCTCGAGCTTTTCACGCGGCCCACTGGTGGGTTGTAGGTGGCGACTGTGAACAGCGGCGAGCTGGCGCGCCGCCAAACGGACGCTGATCTCATTTAGCCGACACCTCCGGCAGTGGCGTCCTATATCCCGGCTTTCCTTTGTACAAATCCGGAAGAGGTCAGTGAAGGCGGGCATGCAAGAGCGAAGCATGTCTCCACAATTCACAACAACATAGTTCTGAGTCTTGGCGTTTCATGTTGCCAGGAATTCTGTTAAAAGTTGGAGACTGTATATCGAAACAAATCTCACTTTACAGGCTCGTCCAGAAATTGATGAGGATCAAACAGAAAAGAAAATCAAGACGTATGAGGAGGTTCCAGCAGTTTGTTTGTGCGTGTGCATTTTGGCCAAAATGGTGAACTTGTCCTCTAATTTGAAGGGCAGGTTTTGATTGCCATGGCAACAGAATTGTGAGCGGGGAGGAAAGAGAAGGGGACCCCCGCGGTGATGAGCACATGGACATTAGAGGGGGAATCCGTGGCTGTGATCACCACCTGGCAAACGTTTCCTCCACATTTGGAGAGACGAGACGAGATTTTATTTATTTATTTTTTTTTACATTTTCAAATACTACAGTCAAACACCCCAAATCATTGTAGTCCAGCCCACAATCTAAAATAAAACAAAACGATTTTCATCCACAGGTTGTGTTCCAAATGAGAGAGGAGAGGCCCAAAATGCGGGAACATCAGGAGATTTTTTTTTTTTTTCAAGGGCAGAGCGGGAGGACGGTTGAGCGCGAGTGGGAGCCGGAGCACATCAAGTGTCACATTCAGGCCTCGCTAATCGCTGAGCCGGGGGAAAAAAAAAAAAAAA